AGCGCCTTGAGGGACACCAGCCTGAGTAAGCAATGAAGTGGACGACTTTCCCTGATATACAGTGTATTGCTTTCTTTCTGAGAAATAAGAATGGAGCCATTTGACAACCCAACAGTCAGTTTGAGTTTCAGCAAGCTTGTTTAGTAAAATGTCCCTAGGTACTGTGTCGAAAGCAGATGTATAATCTAGAAATGTGCAGCGAACAAATTTAGCCCCCTTATCTAAGCTGGAGACAATGTTATGATGCAGGACTGCAGCTGCGTCCAAAGTACTTCTACTATGTTTGTAGGCAAACTGTTTGGGATCATTAAAGGCTTTAAGTGAAGGCTGAAGATTAAGTAAGAGCAACTTTTCCATAGCTTTTAGAAAAGGGGAAGTAATAGCAATGGGTCTGAATTTAAAACATGTCGCAGTAGACGACTTAGGAACAGGTACAATTTTAATGTCCTTCCAAGCGGCTGGCACGACATTTTTGGAAAAAGAATCATTGAATATGTCCATGAGAGGATAACACAGGATATCTGCACAATGTTTAAGAATAACACTAGGCAAACCATCTGGACCCAGGCTACAAGAAGGGTTCATAGACTGGAGACATTTTAGAACGTCATTTGTAGTAAATCCAGGAAAGCAGGTTTCATTAATACTTGTAACACTAGAAAGTTTGGCATTCGTGGGAGAATGTATGAAGGAATTGTTTAGTTTGGAAACATCAAGGGGAAAAGGAATACTGTTCATCTGCTTACCACCAGTAATTTCTTTGAAAAGTTTCCATATGTTAGACGCATTTTTACAGGATATGAACTTTTGGTTGTAAATTGAATTCAATCTGTGCATTTCTTTTTTTTTTTGGATGTTAATTCTTTTCAAACCAGCATTATCCTTCATTTTATATAATTTTTCTTTCTGTCTGCGAAGCTTTTTAAGTTGAGGAGAGGAGAAACGGTCAAATCTGATAAAGAGCGTTTCTCTGGGACAACATGTGTCAAGACAAAATTTGAGATAACTTGTAATATTGGAGATTGTGTCATCAAGAGAGTCTTCTTTAAACAGGTCCCACCTTGTATCTTTGAGCATACTTCTGAGGTTCTGAACATTCTCCATAGAGTAACATCCATGTACAGTTTTCTTGGAAAGGTGTGAGAAAGTTCTCTTGTGTAATTTTCCATAAATTTTAGGTAAAACCCGTACAATACAATGATCTGAGTTAAACAGTGGAGCTCTTTTACGAGCTTCGTATATTCCGGAGTCATTGATAAATACAAGATCAAGGGAATTATCCAGTCTGGTGGGAAAGTTGACAACATTTTCATGACCTATCACTGTGAGAAAGCTGCAGTCACATGAATTAAAATCACCTGTCACTATGGACAGGGAGTTACCAAAAGAGGCGGCAGCGAAAATAGTGAATTAATCAGCAAGCATAGATAATTCTGAAGTGCTACAACAAGGTGTGATATAAATATTCGTGATATAAATGAATTTGTATTTAGATAGGTGTTTAGGTCGACATTTGACAGTTATACAGTCAATATTATCATTTAAGAATTTAAAACAGGCGTTGTTGGCAACAGACGACTGAGAATTGATGAAGGTAGCAACACCGCCGCCTCGCTTCTTCCTCGAACTACTCCGGTCTTGTCTGTACATATTGAAACCATTTATTAAGATTAAATTATCATCATATGAGTCGTGTAGCCAAGTTTCCTGAAGCGTTATTACACCGGTATTACGATAAATATTTGAATATAATAGAGAATCCAAGTGATTAATTTTGTTCGATAATGACCTGCAATTAGTGCTCATAATCACAGGAACAGTCATCTGATGCATTGGAGTACACTTTAGGGATCTTTGCCACCCACCATGGTGCTTTTTCTTAAGGTTATTATATACTCGTAAATTATCCGGTTGAAAACATTTTAAATAATCGCGAGAGTAAGTAACACGTTTTGGATACATAATTGAATAATTAAAACAAAATAAATCTAAGAAATCAGATGCAATATAAGTGACGGAAAAATTTGGTAGCCCAAGTTTTAAGCAGGCCGCCTGAAAAAACTTAATTATTTCATCTGAATGTTATTCACTCTAGCACCTTTGTTGCACTGTTATAGAAAAATAAACTTTCTTTTGTTTTGTAATCTATCATGGTGTTATGCGCTTTCCGGTTGAACTTTCTTTCTACGAAACAATCTTGAACTCTGTTCCCCAGTGCATTAGTCCAATTACCTGACGAATACACAGTCATTCTAGCTCCTAATAACTGAATAACTCACATCATTCCGACATATGTTACCCCTAGTTCCCATCATTTGCTTCCCACCGCCTTGAGAAAAAGTATGTCCCCTCCTTCGATATAGATCATAGTGTTTGTAGCGTCCACGTTGTGTGTATGTGTGCTTGTGTCTTTCTCGCCTTGTTGATGAGTATTCCATTTCTCTTTGATCATTCATATGTGTTGTAAGATGAAACACAATTACAGAGAGGAGGAGTTCACATCTTTCAAATGTGATTTATCGAGTGTCTAAGTTGAATACAGTAATTGCATCTCTCACTTGTTATTTTCTACACAAATGTTTTATTAATCTAGAAAGCCAAAGACTGGATAATTTATACCGACTGAAATGGATTAATGAACTAATATGTGAGTGAAATTATTGCATCAATTTGTTTCCCACTTAATTTGGTTGATTGGGGAGGGGTGTTGCGATGTGAATCTAAACTTTTTCGACTGTATCATATGGTCAAAATCATCTAGTCAGTCAGTAAATTAGCTAGTAAGTTGCTTACTTAGTTAGTTAGTTCGAGGTTAGTGAGTTACGTGCCTGATTATTTCAAGGTTAGTTAGTTACATATTTCAAGGTTAGTCGGATATCTAGTTATATACCTAGTGAGTTATTTAATTGGTAAGTAAATTAGAAGCTGTTGGCAGATACAGCACCGTGTGTCACACCATTCTATGGTGGCTAATTATCCGAAAATGCTGACTAGCCTTTAATAAATGGAAAGAGATTTAAATCGAGATTTTATTGGTAAGAGTTGACTACAGCCAATGGTTAGCCACATCCTCGAAACTTAATAGAAACACACATTACTGGCAAATTACGTTGCGTTATGCTGCATTTCACATTGTCATCATTCTCACTGGTTCACTGATGTCTGTAAAAATCATTCCGGTGATATCTGCACAATCTTATTTCACTCAGTGAGCATACATAAAAATGATGATGTCATTGTGTTCGTCCACTGAACAGCACTAGCGATGATGCCTCCAGTGTCATTCAAAACTCTACTGGTATAATATCGATCGGAGTCAGCAAGAACATTGTCCGAAAGGTGAAATGCACTTTTACACACACATTCATGGGATGCCGATCACTCATCACATCTATGTTTGTAAGAATCAGACACTACAATTGATTCCTCATTCACATACATGAGATTCATGATAATTTGTAACATTGTTTGCAGCTTCACCTGTATTCCAGGCGAACGAAGTGACTGACGAAAACACTAAGAGACGATATGCAAGTGAGTTATTTGCTACTTGTGTATACTGAGATAGTTTAACATGTGGTTTACACAAACGAGGTTTCCGTCTCCGTCTTCTTCTCATTCTTCACAACAGTCCACTGGTTGATCGTATGAGACCTCTCCTCTGACGGAGCATAGCGAATCGCACTACCGCTTACAATGTCACTAATAGAGATGAGCACTCAAATACAGAGACGCATCTTCAAATTCTTCTCTTTCCATTCCCCTATTAGGCATCCATCTACCTTTCAGGGAGAACAAGTAGATCCACTCAGTAAACACCTAGATGAGAATCTCATTTGAAATTTAATTCACAAATAGTGTTATTGTTGAGTAGTAGGAATATTGTCAGGATTTTATGATGAAGTGAAAATCATCGTTTATCTGCAATTAATTATGTCAGCATGTATCTTCCTACGTGACTGCACAATTTTAATTCTTGTAGATGAGTACGAAGAGGGGAAACGCCTGAATAAATCTACTAGTCTGCGCAAAGAAGGTAATTACCGAGTTTTCATTTACTGTAATTCTTTCTTATCGCAGTCAATGCAAACATGACACATGTGAGTGACATACTCATAACACTGGCATGGATGTGATTTGCGCACAAAGCGTTTATAGAGGGCGTGACCGCTGACGTTGAAATATATCTTCATTAGAAGATACCGAATCCACTGGTAGTTATCTCGTATATTTGTGTGCTTAATCATATTGAATACACAAACACACTCATTGTTTCTATGCATGAAACGGATGAAGAGCATTTCATACGTGAAGTTTCATTGTTTGAAATGCGGTCAAGTTACTGTGGGATATTTGGTGGCAATCCACACCGTGATGTTCAGCCATCTAGCATGATGGCCACATTGCAAACTGACTGATAGAATTGAGTTTGCAGCAAAACAGAAGACAAATTGTCCAGTGAAAGTGGTCAGACACTATTTGTCAGACAGTCATCATGTGGACGGATCTTCGCTAGTGCCTACAAATCTGATTTGTTCAGAGTATCGTGGAGCTGGATGAATAATGAGATCGGGCTAATCGTTAGTATTTCTTCGAATAAGCTGAATTATGTAGGTGTCCATTGATGAATGTCAAGTGAACAGCCATTCTACCTGGTTTGGTTACATGGCGGATATTGACTGGCCATTGAAGTGGAATTGTGTTCTCCAGTGGATACCTCTTTGGCATTCAAAACGATGAGCACTGAGTTGGAATCTTGGTGTGTTTGTGCGTATGGAAGTGAGAATCACAATCACTCACTGGAGCAGGCAAGTACATCCAGATGACCAGTCTCTAATAGGATGAAATGCGCATGCTGGATTTCATTGCAACACATAAACGTTGTGCTATTTGAAATGCATCCTCACAATAAGTGGCTTTCATTAGCAGTTTTCCAGTTTGAATTACAGAAAACAAACACGTGCCGATGCATACACATTTTCCTTTTCTATTTCTTGTAGATAGTGAAATCCTTATTGAGACAGTTGAAAATAAATGGAAAGCCAGAGCAAGATTGGATGCTGCTGAAGGTAAAAGAGTAAAGCAGTCGATACATTTTTCTGTAGTAGGTATGTATCAGTGAGAATTTCTCACTACTGAAAATTGATAGAACGATCAGGTGTTGAATGAAACTCGGTGTGAACGGCATCACGGTGATCCCCACACATACGACTAATTTCAAGCTCACAAGGCGAATGACTGCATAAATTAAATAATGTCAACTTTTTGTGTCAGTCAGTCAGTGGGTCATTAATTGTTGTGCCTCCACATAACCCTCCAACTCCGTGTCTGAGAAGCACATCGCATGTGGATTTCTTCATGAGCTTTTATGACAGGCTTTGAGAAACCATCTTTGCCTTGAATTACAGACTGATTTGTATTGAGAATAAGTGTGACTGAGATGCAGACGGAAAAATGCATCGCTTCATTTTAATTGGATGTATCAGACTGGTAAATGTCTGACGGTGATTATTCAGTCTTGAATGTGAGAACATATTTCAACTGTTCTAAAATTGAACAGTCCCTAGCACGTTAAGTGAATTTCGAATATTCTCTTAAATTTCTTGTAGACGCTCAGCTGTCTAGATCATCGGTTACGTGTGTGAAGAAGGAAGGTGAGTGTTCGAAGTTCAGTTTTCACTATTTGTAACATTTTTTCATGCGAAATAATTAATTAATGGCAAGCTTATGCATTGAATCCATGTTTCTATGAATTGAGGTGTCCACACGATACTGGGTACGTCAAAAGTATGTTCCACCATTCAATACACTGATTGACAGAATGCATGCGAACCTACATAATATGTCACTTCTTCCCTTGATGTGTGGGAAATCTTGTTCTTCAATAAAGTCGAGGCAGGTAAAAGTGACACCACTCATCAAAGTTTTGCAAACATGCGGATGATTATGATTTACATCAGTTGACAAGTGTTATGCCACATTATTTGCATAATTTGCATATTTTGGATTCACCTCAACTGCAACAAGCACTGAACATGAGTGAATGACACGACATGAATCCGAAATTATGTAAATATCCAGTGTATTCTGATAAAGAAGTGCAGCCCAATAGCCCATTTTGATTGCTATCATTATTATTATAAGTGTTCTAATGGATTCTGAGTGGAAGATAGGGCTTCAACAGCACATCTACAGCTTGTACTATTCTTTGCAAACCTGTTTAGTTGGCTGGCCAGCACTCATTAAGTTATCTGATCAATAACGCTGACTTTTTTCTCTTCCTGAAGTCAATAGATTAGAGAAAAAGTATATGATGGAATCGGTGAGAAAAAAAATTGAACAACTGAAACGTAAGTTTGCAGTTGCACTTATCTATTTATGTGATGTGTCTAGTTCTCAGGTTGGTGCAGACTGAATTTTCTCATGCTGGGCGGCTCGCCAGCATGAAGCACACTGGGTGAATGTTAAGTGATTGCGGGTAATCGGGAAGATGCTCTGTACTCAGATTTCGTGCTTTCATCATATAAAATTCCTCAAAGTGATGGTTGAATTGACAGAGGCATCCTATCCAGCAACAGAAGCGATGATCATAAGGAATACTTATCACCCGATGATGCTGTACAGTGGTCACTTGCATTCTTAGCAAGCACGCTACTTGATCGACCACACACAATGAAGTGAGTTTAGAAATTACAAAACATGTGTCCACGGCTTCCTGCCGATTACCTCGAATCATCTGACCATGATCCGATGAGGTGCATTGGAATTTGATAGTGTGTTGACTAATCCTCGGAGGTTTGGAAAACAGCGAGAACGGCTGAGGCGAATCAGGAATAGACCACTCATTTTCTGTTCAAAATATATTTTAATCTTCACTTGCTTCTATTGAACTTTAAGATTCAATGATCACGATTTACTGTGTAATTTTTCAGGTGCTGCCGAAGACAGGCTTCATTTTCTATTTAAAGCAATGAAGCATTTCATGTTAAATAAGAATATGAAAAGTAAGCGGCATATAATGAGTATGTGTGAAAACAATGTTTTGATTCGTGATGTTCACTTCAACCTGTTTGAAGGATTATCATAATTAGTGAGCATTCGACTGCAATGAACAACCCTCGATGATAGATTCCATGGACCACAGATAATCGACGACATCGTCGGTGTCATCAGATGCATACTTCAGATTGCGAGACATTACAACTCGCACATCATTCGACAGCAGAAGAATGATAGCATGATAATATTTTGCATGTCCTATCAACTGTTTATCGCGATAGTTCATTCATCACTCTCGGAATGGTCTTATCACTTGACGCGTGCAGTATGCATTCCCTATGATTTGGTTTGCAAGTTTCAAGTCTGGTCATGGAATGATGAGGTGGCGTAAGGCAGATTGACAGGAAATGGCCAACACTGGAATCGACATGTCGATTGAATGGCTGCAGCAGAGATAGAAGTGTTTATTCCTCAAATCTGGATTTCCGTCACGTTGGAGACATGAAATAACCTCATTGCGAGACTTATTTAGCCTAGGGTCAATCGCCAACCAGTCAGAAGCACGTTTTCTCCTTTGAGCTAGCCGAGATTTATTGTTGGTAACAATGTTCAAATATCAGGTGTTTTTTCATGATAAAATATTCCGTTTACAATTTCCCCATCTTCTGGTGTAGTAGTGTCTATTTCTTGAGCATTGAAGACCAGAAAGTAATGCACATCTGTTTCGTCTTATCTTTGAATCTCCATTCAGCCTCATCGAATGGTTTTGATGAGCAGTAATTGAACAGGCACTCACTGACCGGGATTTGAATCCAAGAACTACTGGTTACAACTCGTGGTGGCAGATCATTCAATGACTGGTACCCGGTCCAGCGACCACTCTATGAACTCACGATTCTAATAACTTGTGATTGTAGTCTGACCACCAACGAATGTCGTTGGCGTGTATTTATCCCCAAAACCCGACGTTGGTGGATCCCAGTGGTCAAAACCTCTGACTAGAACTACACGTCCCTTCATACTGTATAGAGCCAGTTACTGGTTGGCGTCAGATTAGTTTCCATGAGTTACTTCGTAGGGATTCGATTAGTTTCACTTTTCATCACGCATTGATATCATTTGGATAAGCAATGTGCATTGGTACACTGAATCTCCCAGAATAGGGAATAATTCATTGGATTTCGTTGGATGTATCGTAATATCTCTTAGTTGTACATGCAATCACTGCAACTGATTTGTGACAATGTAAATTCATTGCGAGTGTTGCTGGCTCAAGTGTATGTGTTCAGTATAATTGTGTCCTCTGATCTGATCGATGTCACTGCAAAGACTCGCCTGTTTTCCCCATATCATGTACAGAGCGAAATTCAATGACCCTCTTCTCTTTCAATTTTTCAGTATACGATTACTTAGTAGAGGATATCGAATTCGCCAAAGCGGAGTACCACAGAGGAATAAGTAACTTATTTACATTTCACTTATTATTTAATGTTCGATATATAAGTATCTGCATATTTCTGTTACTTTCTCAATAAATCCATCTACAGTTTGTCCACACCAAGTAGTAAAGTGGTGACGAAATGCAAATGAAGTTGACACCCAAAATCACCTATTTCCTGTGATGAGTGTATACTTGGATCCACATTGAAATGTCGTGCAGTAATTGACTGTGCTACGCGAGCCACAGGCAGTTAATTTATGGTAGATTTCGATGTGTATGTTTGAAATTTCGACATGTTTGAGGTGATTTGATGTAAATTTGATTGAAACTTTGGATTTTTGTATGTAATTTAGGTGCTTGTGAGTATTCGAGACTAAATGTAGGAATTGGCTTGCCTTCATATTACTTCAAATTAGTTATAAGCTGAACTGGTGATGGCTAGCCATCATATGAAACACCATGTCTCACTGCAGTCTCAGCGTCAAACATTCTGTGAATTTTGTATCTCACTGTCTTTCATACTACATTCCAATTCACAGAAATTTGTTTTCATCTCCTTCCAGATGAACTTGTCAAAACAGCAGTCGAGTTGGAGGATAAGCGACTTCATTATTTAAAATGTAAGTCAGTCTGAAATCGTAACAGTTTTGTACTATTTAGTACTTTGTCCAGAGGAAAGAGTCAAAGCCTTAATAAACTCAGTGACTAAGGAGGTTTACACACCAAAAAAGTACGTTCCTTCTATGTAATTTTTCTTCATGGTGAAATGTATTCATTCATTAATTCGTTTATTTATTTATCCATCACGCAATTGATTAATGAACATTTAATGACGTCTGCTGCATATCAATCACCTGATAACAGAGTGAAATATTCTGCATGAAGGTGCAGTGAATGCACTGAGCGAATATGTTTCGGAAAGATAATGAAGTGTTTCAGTTATCATTTACTCAACAACGTTTTGAATGAAATAGAGTCTAAACTTCAACTTGATCTTGAGTGTTTTCTGAATAACACACATGTTTGGTTGCACCGTGTGGCTGCCATCTGACCACCTCCATCACCATGTTTGCCTTATCAACTCCCGCAATACATTGACATCCTGAATGACATGAGAATGGCAGTTGTATCTATCTGTACACAGACATTGTTTCTACATACCAAGAAATTCATTCGTCTGTTGAAAACATTTTGACATACAATTCAAGCCTACAGCCTAAATCATTCAACGTTATCTGCCAGGGATCACTTTTGAAGTCGATTGGTTCAACCGGAAGAACTCAGTCAAGCGTCCACGTCATTCAGTAAACTGTAGCGTGCGCTATCCAACAAGCTAGCTAGGTATCTAGGTATCCAACTAAGTAGACATCACCACCGAAAATGGAAACAGATTTTCATCTCTCTACACTCAAAGTGAAAACAGAGAATGAACAGACTTCTTTTTGATACAACAAAGTCTGGTTTCAACTCATGAATCGAGGCATTTAGCATGAATACTGTGGATGATTTTAAAATCACGATAGAAGTTCAAAGAGTGTCAGAATTCGATCAAGTGTTGTAGAATAATGAGCCTCGCAAACACTTCCTTTCCCCATTGTAAAGTTATGCTGCAATGTGCACTGCTCCACTCTGCTCTCCGTGTCGAAGGCATTCTCTTCGAGAGCACTGTATTCTTTGCTGAATAAGATTAGGTGAACTGTGATAGATGCACATGGAGGTGGTCAGATCAGTGAGATTACCTCTCACATAAATGAAGAACAACCTACGGCTGGCTGATGCGGTCCAGTTGAAGTAATGATGCAAATGTGGCATTGAGGAAGTCGTATGAAACTCGTAACTCTTAATTCGTACTCCGGTGAGTTGTTGTGCATTTCTAGAAAGGGAAAATCATGGCCGTCGGACACTCACCGTTCACGGGAAGCAATGTTGTCGAATTTCGCACTGATTGTAAGTGACATCATTCAAGCGACAGAGGTATGTCTTCATTCAGCATCATGACAACATCTTGGGGATTGGATGGCATGAATACCACGGTTGAATTAGATGGTTAGTCAGTTAGTCAGTTGGTCAGTCAGTCAATGTTGATCCTCGTATTCATTCGTTGCTACGATTAGGGAACTTATGTGTGTTAATTCATCTAATTGATGTGCGATCGTTGTAATTTTTCAGATAAACATGGTCTACCAGCAATGGATCAGCACACTGGACTAACATATCTACAATATATTGAAGTCCTGTTCACCATGTGTTCGCGATTATTTAACTCTTAACTCAGTCACTGTCTTTTCCACAGAAATGTTGGCGAAAATACTTTTCTCTCTGCTTTTTTAACTGAATTTTAATACAAATAAATGAGAGTGTGTGTGGCAGTTTTATTCACTTTGAATTGTTTTCTGAGAAAATGTGTTATTGAGTGTTAGTTTAGCGGGATTTGGTTGGTTACAGGTCCTCTCACCACCTAGCGTGCGTTAGAGAGCTATTGGAAATCAGCAGGCGATACCAGGTGACTGCCTCCTCCTCGTCTGAGACTCTGCGGTACTAGGCAACAACCTGAGTTCGAACTAATTGACCGAGTGGATAACGAGCTCACCACGTTAACGGAAAATTCGTCTTCCGTTTGGATCGCAAACAAGGAGCGAACGGCTCTCCAGTACTCCTTGATGCTTTTCAATGCTTCTCTAACTGATGTCACCCCATGGGTGAATCTGTACCGTTGAAAGACATAAGATGGAGTAGATTTGAAGCTGAGGGGGACGATTTTGATGCACTGTGTTCAAAACGCCTTTATCAGATTGACTTGACGTCTCCTGGAGTCTCTTGTCAGCTGAAATCACCTAACATTTGCGTGTCTAAATTGTTTTTTTTATGAACTTAAGAATTACTATTGCCTAAAGGCAGCTGATGAGAAGCCGACGACACAAACAATGATGGCACCATCTTATTCTGATTTGACACTAGTAACTAGTGTGAGGCGTCTAGTCCTCTCTTTGGTGCAGACTGAATTCTATCAGTCAGGTTGTAATGTGGCCACCATTCTAGGTAGCTCACCATCACGGTGTACATAGTTTGTGATGATATTAGGCGGTTGGAGGCAATCGGCAGCAAGCCTTGGACCTAGGTTTCGTGCTAGCTGGCACTCGTCAGCAAGGCGTATCTGCATCCTTGAAGGAACTCATGTCCCTTCTGAGATTCGAACCCGCGTCACCCAGTGCTGCAGTCAGAGACGTTACCACTGAGCTATTTGGGCTCGCGATTGACCTCCTGTAGGACTGTAGTGGATATTTTGATTTGACACTAGTAACTAGTGTAATGCGTCTAGTCCTCTCTTTGGTGCAGACTGAATTCTATCAGTCAGGTTGTAATATGGCCACCATTCTAGGTAGACGCATCACTCTAGTTACTAGTGTCAAATCAAAATATCCACTACAGTCCTACAGGAGGTCAGTCGCGAGCCCGAATAGCTCAGTGGTAACGTCTCTGACTGCAGCACTGGGTGACGCGGGTTCGAATCTCAGAAGGGACATGAGTTCTCTCAAGGATGCAGATACGCCTTGCTGACGAGTGCCAGCTAGCACGAAACCTAGGTCCAAGGCTTGCTGCCGATTGCCTCCAACCACCTAATATCATCACCATCTTATTCTGCACAAAGTGCACTTCACGGCATATTCATAACCGCATGGTATGTTGGTGAGTGGTCATCTTTCATATGACACATTTTGCTGTCATATTAAGACAAAATTTATGAAAAGACATGTGAATACGTACAGTGCAATGTGTGCTGAACAGAAACTGTTTATGCTTATAGCTGAATAAAATAATCATTACCTACTGAATTGAACACGGATATTTGGTCAGTGAATCTGTCGGAAATCTTTGAATAGCTTGTAAAAATAGATTAGTATGACCACCTTCACTTCATTTGTAAAAGATGACGTAGATCAAGCAGAAACCTACCCGTGTATAACCAATTTTCCAAAGTTCAGGGACGAATCGGAGAATTTGCAGTCAACTCAGGATACAGCTTGCCCAAAAGAAACTTCAAGGAAATTATTCTAGCACCTTTAGTCTGGAGCTTGCAGCAAAATATCCTGCAACAGCTTCGATTTTGTAGTGAATAAACCAAAGTGTATACAACAGGTGGCAGGTGATCCATTTGAAATATCTGACGAAATGTTTTCCTCATAGATGTTTTCTGTCGTCACTGTTGTGCATTACTTTGAAACTGAATAAATAAAAACTGAAGCATAAATAAGCAAAGATTGTTGACGATTTTGGTATCGAACCTCTTAAGACCGTGATTAACAGGCAGTGGAATAGCCTTGCATATTTCACATAAAGAGGAGGTTTATAGCTTTTTCAAATTGTCCATTGTTATGTGACCACTGCATAAACATTTCCTCACGTGGATGCAATAATAAAACAATGATAACTACTGTTATTGGCAACAAACAATCTAAATACCTCAACTTCTAAATCTCTCACAAAGACGCAGCATTTGAAACTTTCATCGTAATGCTAAACAGCCTAATTTCAAACAGAAATGTGACAAATGACGCAACGTATATGTTCATCTCCTCCAGCAGATCTCAATCAAAGGTTCTGATTCTGAACAATGCGTATTTAAAGTGATATACGTATATGTAAGTATGGCGAGTAGCAAATTATCATCCGACAGATAAGCTTGCATACTCAACAACTCATTTTGTGCACGGAAGTATTTTCCACAGTTAGTTCGTGTTGCATACATCACAGTGAATCAGCATTACTTGCAAGATGATGTTTTAGAAACAATTTATTCATCCAAATCACGTTTATAATCATGATTTCAGTGCAGTAGTGAAGTACATTCAGATGCATACGAAACGTATAATCTGTGATTAAATTTACTTATTTTTGTAACATTTGCAAACTTCACATTCCACATTGGCCTGAGATTCCTTTGAATTTTCGACAGTATTTCGAAAAGCAAACCCACAATATTCCGTTTTATCATACTTTAACTAACGAATATTTAGTGTCTCAACAATTTCTGCAGAACTGATCCAACATGGTTCTCACAACAGTCGAAAATCAATGAAGAGTTAACAGACAGCGCATATGAGGCAGTGGATTATTGCTGGTAAATTTTGCATCTATTCAGGCGACTTTTGTAAGTGAGAATTTTGAAACGTTGTGCACATAGAGACTCATCAAGCAAGCAGAAGAAGATCAGGGATAGTTACAGTTAGGGAAGAGAATCTCATTTACGTTTAAGATCAGAAGTGTCACGGTATCACAAACAGCCTTTATGTTTGCATTATATGTTCAAAAGCGGAAGGATTGCGCTTACATCGATGTGCTTTTACCTCGATTGTTTCAATATTGGAGATATATTGAATATCGTCGATGAAGTGTGGCTAAGAATTTATGAAAGACTACTCAGCGTAGGTAAATTTCTCTCTTTCATTCCTTCGACAAAATATACACCTCGAAACATGAACAATGCCCAACACATCGCTGACGGCCATCGATGAGTATCCCACAAGACTATACAGATCAAGAGATATACTGATTTCGCATTTCTAATGTTCCAGTTACCATCACCACTCACGATACAATGGATGAAATGAGATTAACTGGTCGAATGTGCAATGT